CTGAAGATTATAAAATAAAACCTATAAAAAGTCTATAAAAATTGATTTTTGATGCATAATCTGAATATTCAGCTTTCACCTTAAATGCTTGGATCTTGAGACATATAGTTTTTAAAATAAATTCTTCAAAGACCACCCTTATCTAAAACACACATTTTATATAAAGTGGGTATTCACAGATTTGCAAGGTTCTAGATACAAAGAAGATTATAAAATAAAACCTATAAAAAGTCTATAAAAATTGATTTTTGATGCATAATCTGAATATTCAGCTTTCACCTTAAATGCTTGGATCTTGAGACATATAGTTTTTAAAATAAATTCTTCAAAGACCACCCTTATCTAAAACACACATTTTATATAAAGTGGGTATTCACAGATTTGCAAGGTTCTAGATACAAAATTTGTATCTGCATCCGTATCTGCAAAAGTATACCCACAGATATAAAGTAGATATCCATGGATTTGTAGGGCTCTGTAAATTGGTATCTTTTGCATGTCTAGTCTACATAATCTGGAATGCAGTGGAAAGCATGCTTCATTCTCAAATTTTAGAAGAGTGGGTTTTTTTCTAATGTCGTTTGCTACATTTGGATTCAGGGATTTGGCTGGAAGAGATGAGCGGAGGAAGAGGGAAGAGAAGTGTGAGACAATGGAAGGGGGCGGGACCTGAGCAGAGCAGGGAATGAGTATTAGGGGAAGACAGACTGGGGAGCCTTAACCAGCAGCTTCACCCACTGTCCACGATAAGAAAGTGTTTAAATATAAAATGGGAAGGTGGCATATATATTAGTGCTGTTTAATACTATACAATATTATATATCTTTATAATAAATTAATATCAAACAGCAGCAATATATCTACTGTATACTTGAGAGAGTTTGTCTGACTGTCTGTTTGTCCAAAGATGACTCCTAAATGGCAAGAGCCAGGACCACCACATTTGGCATGCAGCTTCCTCTTATCATAATTTAAAGCAAAAGTGAATGGAGAGAGGAAAACAACAATGGTAAATGTGCAAATGGCAGAGGTGCTTAACAATTTCTATGTGTTGGTTTTCATCAAGGTTGGCAGCAATTGGACACCACCAACATAGTGAATGCCAGTGAAAATGGGGTAGGTTCAGAAGTTAAAATAGGAAAAGAACAAGTTAAATATTATTTAGAAAACTTAGATATCTTCACGTCACCATGCCCTATTGAAATGCATCTTAGAATATTCAAGGAGCTGATTGGGGAGATATCTGAGTCATCATCTTTGAAAAGTCATGGAAGACAGGGGAGATTCAGGAAGACTGAAAAAGGGCAATTATAGTAGCCATCTATTAAAAGGGAAATAAGAACAATACAGGAAACTACAGTCAGACCAGTCAGTTTAACTTCTGTTCCAGGAAAGATAATGGAACAAATTATTAAGGGATCCATCAGAAAGCATTTGGAAGATGATAAGGTGATAGGTAACAGCCAGCATGGATTTGTCAAGAACAAATAATGTCAAACCAGCCTGATAGCTTTCTTTGAGAGGATAACAATCCTTGTGAATAAGAGGGAAGCGGTGGACACAGTAAACATAGATTTTAGTAAAGCATTTGATATAGTCTCACTTGACCTTCTTATCAATAAACTAGGGAAACAAAACGTAGATGGGCTACAATATGTAGGTGCATAACTGGTTAGATAACCATTCTCAGAGAGAATGATTCACAGTAATACTGGAAAGGCAGAATAAATGGAGTTCCGCAGGGATCAGTTTGGGGACCAATTCTGTTCAATATCTTCATCTATGATTTAAATAATGGCATAGAGAGTATGCTTATAAAGGTTGCAATTGATACCAAGCTGGGATGGGTTGCAAGTGCTTTGGAGGACAGGATCATAATTCAAAATGGTCTGAGGTAAATAGGATGAAGTTCAACAAGGAGAAATGCAAAGTACTGTACTTAGGGAGGAACAACCAGCTTCACATGTGCAGCAGAAAAGGATGTAGGGTAATAGTGGACTATAAGCTAAATATGAATCAACAGTGTGATACTGTTGCAAAGAAAGCAAACATCATTCTGAGATGCACTGAAAGAAATATTGTGAGCAAGACATGAGAAGTAATTCTTCCCCTCTACTCTGTGCTGATTAGACGTCAACTGGAGTATTGTTTCCAGTTTTGGGCACCACATTTCAGGAAAGATGTAGAGAAACTGGAGAAAGTCCAGAGAACAGCAACAAAAATTATTGAAGGTCTAGATAACATGAGAGTTTGTTTACTTTAGAAAAAAGAAGACAGAGGGTACATTAGAAGTTTTCAGGTACCTAAAAGGGTGTTATAAGGAGGAAAGAGACAAATTATTCTTCATAACCTCTGATAAGACAAGAAGCAGTGGGCTTAATCTGCAGCAAGGAAGATTTAGGATGGACATCAGGGTGGTTAAACTCTGAAATAAATTGTGTAGGGAGGTTGTGGAATCTCTATAACTGAATATATTTAACAGCAGGTTAGACAGACATCTGTCAGAGATGATCTAGATCAGGAATGGCCAACCCATTACAAATGAAAAGCCAAAATAGTGGAGGATGCAGCGCAAATAGACGAGGGAAAAATGTTGTTGAGAAAAAAAAAAGGCCCGGATGCTGCCCTTTTAACAGCAGAGCAGGCATTGTCCTTTTAATGGTGGCCATTTTGAAGGATGCACTGGATGCCGTGGCTCTGTCTCTTTTATACAGCTGCCCCTTGAAGAGCCGCGGGTGCAGGAGCCGCAATTTTTTCTTTGAAAAGCCACATGCAGCTCACGGATCTAGATGATGGTTGGTCCTGACATGAAGGCGGGGGAACTGGACTTGATAACATCTCAAGGTCCTTTCCAGTTCTAGTATTCTATTATTCTAATTATTATATTCTATGAAGTAAGAGTTTGGTTATGCCAGGACAATGGGATGTGCCTGGGATACAATTATTTCTTATAAACACAGATGGAAGTTTCTGGTAACAGGGACAGTTATACTGTATAATTATCACAGGACGGCAGCAAGGGGCCAGAGATGGGAACCAGGACATATATAACTTCATTGGGAAGCAGGGGGGGTAGGGGTGGAGAAAGGGGCAACTATTTACTGTATATTTCAGAGAGTTTTTTCTTTATGTATCTGTCTGTCTGTCCCCAAGCTCAGGGACATGTATCCCTCCCGCAGCTGTGCCGACTACAGCTGCAGCAGCCATGGACAGATGCTTCTTATCTGGGCTCAAGCTACTGTGGTGAGAGTGGGAGGGAGTTGTCCTTTCTCCCATGGCAGCCTGCATACTGAAGCCCATATCTCCAGCCCTATCTCAGAGCAATGATTTAAATGAAGAAAAACAAAAATTATCTGAGCCAAGCAACACTGAGTAAATCCCTTAGTTTATATATAAAATAAACAAGAGTCCAAAATTCAACTTCATTAGTTTCTTTGGAAATTGACAACCACAACAAATCCTGGGGATGGTGGAGGTGAATTTTAAATAAAGCACTCACCTGTTCAATATCTGGATCTCTGGTTTCTTCAAGGTATTTTTTGAAAGGGTTTGGTTGATAAGGCTCCTCTGCTTTCAGTAAGATTTTTGTTTTCACTGGCCCTGGACGAATAACACCAGGCTTTGTCTAGATACATAGCACGCACAGGGGAAAAGAGAACAGATATTTAAAACATGAAGAGTAACAGATTATAGAACATTATATTTATTCTTGGACATTCTGATTCCAGTTGTATTGAAGCTACCATATTTCAGAAGATGACATTTAAAAATATGCAAGGACCAAAATCATTCATTTCCTTATTGACTGACCTGTTTTTATTTCAGAATATGGAGAAAGATGACACATGTTTTGATTCTGCAATCACAGGAAGCTCTTAATTAACATCTGTTTGTTATCAATTGAATAAAAGAAACTAGCCTGCCTGTCAAACTATTGTTCCTGTCACCTCTTGCTAGGTGCTCAACTGCATCCTAACAACTTCATCAAGGCATGGATTATGTATAACCATATCTGTTTGTAGGCAGCAAATTGCAGTGTGAACTTTTCAAAAAGACACCACAAAATGAAAAAAAAAAAAAACAAGAAAGAAGGGTAATAGATGATGCAAGTATATTAACTAATGTCCTGCACCAACACATGGCAAGAGAGCACTTTTAGAAAATCCAGGCCAGGCAAACTCTGGCCAAATATCATGTGAGCTTTCCCAGTATACAGGACAAAAACTTGAAACAGACTATGAACAGCAGCAGCAAACAACCATTTGCACAAATGTAATCAGGCTTTTCAGTACTAATATCTCAACTTTCTCATCCTTCAGCCCCTGATAAGCAATAAAGCAGAAAATGATGAGAGAGAGAGTAATTTTTTATTCTATGAAGTACAGCTGGATGTAAAACAGTAATTCCAGCGTGTAAAAAAAAATCAAAATTTGTTCTGTATTTGTGGTTGAGAGAAAAAGGTTCACCCTTTCTATGCAGAGCACTCATCCTGGGTATAGGGGGACTTAAGTTATTGCTCTGCCTGATTCAGAGCAAGGGTTTAAACCTGAGGTGTCCATGTACTGGAGGAGTTACCTAACCTGTGGCCACCTATGGAGTCTGTTTTTGTCTTCCTTTTCCTCTGCTGCCTCAAGTGAAGCTGTTTGTGAGGTGCTGTGTGCACTAGCTGGGTTTCTGTTAGTCTGTGTTTGGTTTTTATTTTGTCCCTTGATTTCTCTTTCTTTTACAGGTGTCGTTGGTTCCCTCCCTTTTTCCCTTAGGAGTGAGGTTTTCTCTATGGGGTCCACTTCAGATGGGTTTAGTGGTTTGACCCACAAGCATGGGGTTGGGCGTGTGCCTGCTTCCTCCTGCACTGTGGGGGAGGTATCGCTGAGTCTGTGTAAGATTATTGGCTGTGCTCATTAAATCTGCCTCTTGAATGAGCAAATCCAGAGTTATTTTCCTGGTGTAAGAGCTGTTTGTGAATCATTTGATACAGGAGGGACTCTAGGTCCAGGATCTTTTCTTCAAGTATTCTCCTTGTTTATTGCTGCTACTAAAGCAATTTCTCTAATATGCACTCTTCCTTCACAATGGGACACAAATGTCTAATTTCAGCCATTATTATGAAGCAATTTCTGCTGGTGGGATGATGTGGGTCATTTTATGACATTCCTACGCCAGGTAGATGTGGCATAAGATGTTCTAAATAACCCTGAATCTTGTTTTAAAGCACCACATGGATGGGGTGGATTGTATCATGTTAGCAACCTCTCAAAAGGTGAAATATTTCCTGGTCATTTCCAGGATTCCTGCCCACATATTGCTGACTTGGGGGTTCCTGAGAATGTGGGAACCCTAGAATAGTGGGGAGGAGGCTGGAAAATTAAGAGGCCAGAAGGTGAACCCCACTCTTCCTGTGCCATATGTGGTCTGCTGCTATCCAGAGAGCAGCCTCCCCTCCCCCAGTTCCCCAGAGGAACACTTGGTTGGGACCTCGTCACCTATGTACCATCGTGTTTTTCTGCTTTTTTTGTTAGTCTGGGTTGACCAAGATGTTCCATGTGCTTGTTCCTAGTGGACTGAGCTAGACGTCAGTGACAGCTCTTGCTGATCAGACCAGAATCCAGTCTGTAATTTGATGTTCCTGTTTAAATATTCATATTGTGTCTGTGTAACAAATAATTCAATTTTCTTTTGTGTGTGAATGAGGAATGTGTGTTAAAAGATAAAACAAAAGGAAAAATTATGTAGCTCTTTAAAGACTAACAAGATGGTTTAATAGGTGATGAGCTTTCATGGGCCAGACCCACTTCCTCAGATCATATTCTGGAAGAGAATTGGCATGAAAAATCATGGAAGACAGGGGAGATACCAGAAGACTGGAAAAGGGCAAATATTGTGCCCATCTATAAAAAGGGGAATAAGAACAACCCAGGAAACCACAGACCGGTCAGTTTAACGTCTGTCCCAGGGAAGATAATGGAGCAGGTAATTAAGGAAATCATATGCAAACACTTGGAAGGTAATAAAGTGATAGGGAATAGCCAGCATGGGTTTGTGAAGAACAAGTCATGCCAAACTAATCTGATAGCTTTCTTTGATAAGATAACGAGCCTTGTGGATAAGGGAGAAGCGGTGGATGTCATATACCTAGACTTTAGTAAGGCATTTGATACAGTCTCGCATGATATTCTTATTGATAAACTAGGCAAATATAACTTAGATAGGGCCACAATAAGATGGGTGCATAATTGGCTGGATAACCGTAGTCAGAGAGTGGTTGTTAACGGTGCTAAATCCTGCTGGAAAGGGATAACAAGTGGAGTTCCTCAAGGGTCTGTTTTGGGACCCATACTGTTCAATATCTTCATCAATGATGTAGATATTGGGATAGAGAGTACGCTTATTAAGTTTGCAGATGATACCAAACTGGGTGGGGTTGCAACTTCTTTGGAGGAGAGGGACATAATTCAAAATGACCTTAGCAAGTTAGAGAAATGGTCAGAGGTAAACAGGATGAGGTTTAATAAAGAGAAATGCAAAGTGCTCCACTTAGGAAGGAACAATCAGTTCCATACATACAAGATGGGAAGCGACTGTCTAGGAAGGAGCATGGCGGAAAGAGATCTAGGGGTCATAGTGGACCACAAGTTGAATATGAGTCAACAGTGTGATGCTGTTGCAAAAAAAGCAAATATGATTCTAGGTTGTATCAACAGGTGTGTTGTAAGCAAAACTCGTGAAGTCATTCTGCCGCTCTACTCTGCACTAGTTAGGCCTCAGCTGGAGTACTGTGTCCAGTTCTGGGCGCCACATTTCAAGAAAGATGTGGAGAAATTGGAAAGGGTACAGAGAAGAGCAACAAGAATGATTAAAGGTCTAGAGAACATGACCTATGAAGCCAGGCTTCATGAACTGGGCTTGTTTAGTTTGGAAAAAAGAAGATTAAGGGGGGACATGATAGCGGTTTTCAAATATCTAAAAGGGTGTCACAAGGAGGAAGGAGAAAATTTGTTCCTCTTGGTTTCTGAGGACAGGACAAGGAGTAATGGGCTTAAAGTGCAGCAGGGGAGGTTTAGATTGGACATTAGGAAAAAATTCCTAACTGTCAGGGTGGTCAAATATTGGAATAAATTGCCAAGGGAGGTGGTGGAATCTCCCTCTCTGGAGATATTTAAGAACAGGTTAGATAGATATCTGTCAGGGATGGTGTAGATGGAGCTTGGTCCTGCCTTGAGGGCGGGGGGCTGGACTCGATGACCTCTCGAGGTCCCTTCCAGTCCTATGATTCTATGACCATATATACCAAAGAAATACAATGAAAAAAGTGAACACATTATTAAACTGACAAATCAGATTTAGTACAGAAGATGGAGTGAGAGCGAGGGAGGGAGGGACGGAATAGCTATTTGAGTCAATGAATGGCTAATCAGGGGTGATAATTGGGAGGCTATCTTTGTAATGATTAAGGTAATTAGCATCTTTATTAAGGCCCATTTGTAAAGTGTCAAATTTAAGGATGAAAGAAAGTTCTGAAGTTTCCCTGTGTAATCTGGTATTAAAGTCTCTTTGAAGTAAGATGCATGTAGTAAGGTCGTTAAGACTATGTCCAGGTAGGTGCCCAAGCAACAAACCCCATTGCCAACTTTGTCCACATATTTATTCTGGAGACACCATCACTGCACCTAACCATGTCAGTTATATGATCAAGAACACATATTCCTGTTCATCCATAAATATAATTTATGCCATCATGTACCAACAGTGTCCTTCTGCTATATATATTGGACAGACTTCTTAGACTCTTCGCCAAAGAATTAATGCCCACAAATCAGACGTCTTCACAAGGAAAAACCAGTTGCTTTTCATTTCAGCCTATTGAACTTAACGACCTTACTACATGCATCTTACTACAAAGATTGACAACTCTAAAAGACTGACAGATTGCAGATTGACAACTCTAAACGATAAGGCAAGCACCTATCAATTGGGACAAGATAGTTGTGATATGAGAAGAATAACTTAAGGAAACAAGAACTCATCCAATGGCAATTGATTATAGCATGATGATGTGAAACTTACTGATCCCAGTGAAGGAAAACTGCTATAAAAAGGAGCTGTTTTGTCATAATTTTTGGGTGCTTCCTGCCAAGACTGGAGCATCAGTCCAGACAGATAGAGCCCTGCTTCTATCCGTGATCAATTTGCTTGATCACCAGAGAGACACGGACCATGGACTGGTAAATATAACATTGATTAGTGAGACAGTGTGTGTGTATGTATTTCTCTATGTAACCATATGCTAGCTGCTTCACTATTGTATTCTTAATGAAGGAGGCACATTGCCTTTATTTCTATAAAAAGATCCTGAGTACTTCTTTTAAGCATAGCAGTATTGCTCAGAATTTGCAGAATATTTCAGGGATTATTGTTTTAGGAGGGTGTGGGGAATATTCCCTTCACTAGCTATGTCTCCTTCTATGCATGAGATCCATGTGCAACCAGATGGAAGTGTTGTCCTGGAAGGTTTTGGCGAATATACCTTTTGCAACGAAGCAGCAGCTCTTTGGTATGTGTGTCAAGGTAAGGCATTATGCCACCCTCTCAAATCCCTCTGATACAGCCTTGATGACATCCCTGTCC